TGACAAGACGATTTCGGAAACTGCAAGAGAAGGAAGACCAACTTGGATGTAGCTTGGATTGGTGACAAGAAGGCATTCGACTCCCTGCCACATGACTGGATCATCAAGCGCCTAGAAATAACAGGAGTCAGTAGAAATCTGTCCTGGACAGGCTGCGGGTGCAGAAGTTATTTGTGTGTGTGTGTGCCTTTGAGTCAGTGTTGACTCCTGGCGATTGCCTGGACCAGTCCCTGCAGTTTTCTTGGCAAGATTTCAGAAGTGGTTTGCCCTTGCCTCCTTCCTAGGGCTGAGACAGAGCGACTGGCCCAAGGTCCCCCAGCTGGCTCTGTGCCCAAGGCAGGACAAGAACGCACGGTCTCCTGGTTTCTGGCCTGGTGCCTTAACCACTACCCAAACGGGCTCTCTGACCCAAGAGGAAGGGATAAATAATAATAAGATCCCCCAGATGGGTTTCTCAAAAACATTCCAGCGTCATGCTCTCATTTACACCGCGTCTACCTTTTTCTTTGCCTCACCTTTGCAACGCAGAGGGCCAAAGGTATATCGGCTGTGGTTCTGCTGTTGCTCAGGGCTGCCCTGCAAGCTGTCGATGCTTTTCCGGGAGTCCAGCATGCCCTGTATTGTTTGCATGCCTAATGAAATGATGCTGGATCTTCAGAGTGATTTGGTGGCTTTCGGAGAGCCAGGCCTGGGCCACAACGCCCTGCGATTGTCTGGTCATGCAGAGAGAATGAAGGAGGGCTGAACGTCACACCAAATACAGGAAGCGTTTGGGAAAGTTGGGAAGAGATAGAAACTTCTGGCTGGTTGAAGAAAATGAGATCTTAGAAAGAAAGAGGCACAAAGTTTAAAAAGCAAAAAGCCACGTGTAGAACAATAAATGGTCACGGTGGCCGTAAGGATGATTTACAAGGATGGAAAAGTCTGGAGAGATTTTGTGAATGGCGCTGATGTAAATTCAATTTAGCTATACTTCCTATTGTTTATCCCGTTCCTTCTTTTGCTTGTATTCTTTCTTACCTCTTTTCTACACTTTCAATAATGTTGGTTACCCTGAAAGGGCAGATAATAAATCCTGCTGTTAATTTATTTATGGTCCATATTTCTTAAGGCATAACCATAAAATCTGTTTATTTCCTCTTCTTAGCTGGCAGGGAGTAGGGTCGCCAAACCCTGCAAAATACAATATTTCTTTAATTGGATTGGTGAGATTTAAAACTGTGGAAAATTGTTTTGGTTGAAAAAATCAGCACAGTAAGAAAACCTTGAAACACCTTACAGTGAAAGATAAGTTTATTCAGGGCTGGTCCGCCTTCATCAGCTAAATGAACCGTGGTTTTTATATCCCATTACCATCATTTGTACAGCATGTTCTGGATAAAAATGTTGAATCAGGATGTTTAAAATGTTTGCTCTTCTCTTTAAGAGATAAGAGATAATATCCATACCCAGATGCACCCCACATGCAAGAGAATTTTTTTTTCTTGTTTTTCTTGCTTTTTTCTTTATTTTTCCGTTGTTCATCCTGTTTTGCTTCCTTCATCAAGAGGACAAAACAAGCAGGCACCTTCCAATATTGGTTCAGATGTTCCATTCCCCACCTTTTCCCTGGTCAGGGACATTTGGAACGTGGAGAACGAAAGAGGACAGACTTCGCCAGGCATCGCGTGGCTTCCATGGGGCATAATCCATTTCAATTAGGGGCATCTGGGGGGATCGAAATAGTCCCGACGACAGTCATAACTATGGGACTCCCATCTCTACTTTTTTGACCCCCTCCCCTTGTGGAGACCCCTGGCTCTGCATGGGACACCCAAGGAGACCAATGTTTCACAAAGACCTTTGTTAGTGCCTGATCTTCTCTTGTCCTCTCTGCATTTTCAAAACAATTATTTTAATAAAAAAAAAAGGAACTAGGAAGCTACATGTGGCAAAGACACCATCCACCAACATCACCTTTTTCCAAAACGTCTCTTGGCTCCCAAGCTTGAGGGGTCTCTAGTAAATTGGTTTGGACCTTCCTGCCAGCCCTGCAAGGTAGGGCAGGTCAAGAAACAGGCACCACAAGGGTTCCAGGAATGCTACTTCCATGTGGTCTGTTAAGAGAATCTGGAAAGCCTGACCCAAGTCTTCACTGCCCCTTTTGAAGGACAACAACATCAAGGCAGGGCTGTTCTGAGTCTCTTTCTCACACTTTCTCCTTTCCCAGGCTGAGCAACTCTTCTCAGTACAGAGCAATCGGCAGGAGGGCTCAAAAATTAAAGGTTATAAGCAGGAGCTTCTGCCACGTGTGTGCTTATCAGAAAAGTCAAGATGGTAGTCCCATAGTTGCAACCACCATCTTGACTTTTCTGACCCTCCCCCCTTCCTGGGGAACCCTGTTCAGAGCCCCACTGTTAGCAGAAGATTGCATCTTGGTAGGTGGTGTCAGTTTCATTCCAAAGTCTCTGATACTGTAGTCCTAAGTGAGTCCCACTGAATGCTATGGGGCTCACTTCTGATAGTTG